TATTTTAACTTTTTGTAATAATTCTTTTTGCAAATTAAAAATAAAGATAAATTCATTTATCAATATAAATTTAGTATTACAATGTTAAATAATTAAATATTTTTCACTGAAATAAAGAAATGACACTGGTCATATTTTTTTTAAGGAAAATGTTCCAGAAGCGAAGTCCTTTAAGAAAATTGCTTCAGAAGTGAATTCTTTTAAAGAAAATGCTTTGAAAGCAAATTTCTTCAAGGAAATTACTCCAGAAGCGAGTTCTTTTAAAAAAAACGCTTCAGAAATGAATTTCTTAATGGAAAATGCTCTGGAAGCAAAATCCTTTTTGAAAAATACTCTGAAAGTAAAATCCTTCAAGAAAATCACTCTGGAAGCGAATTTTTTTAAAGAAAATGCTTCAGAAGTAAAATCCTTCAAAGAAATCGCTTTGGAAGCAAATTCTTTAATAGAAAATACTCTAAAAGTGAAATTCTTTATAGAAAACACTCTGAAAGCAAAATCCTTTAAGGTAATTACTCCAGAAGTGAATTCTTTTAAAGAAACACTCCAGAAGCAAAATCCTTCAAAGAAATCGTTCTGAAAGTGAATTCTTTGAAAGAAAACGTTTTGAAAGTGAAATCCTTCAAAAAAATCATTCTGAAAGCGAATTTTTTGAAAGAAAATACTCTGGAAGTGAAATCCTTCAAGAAAATCACTTCAGAAGTGAATTCTTTGAAAGAAAATGCTCTGGAAGTGAAATTCTTCAAGGAAATCATTCTGGAAGTAAAATTCTTCAAAGATTTCACTCCAGAAGTAAAATTCTTTATGAAAAATGCTCTAGAAGTGAAATCCTTTAAGAAAATCACTTCGAAAGCGAATTCTTTTAAAAAAATCACTCTGGAAGCAAAATCCTTCAAAGAAATCACTCTGAAAGCGAATTCTTTGAAAGAAAACGCTCTGAAAGTGAAATCCTTCAAGAAAATTATTCCAGAAGTAAATTTTTTAAAAGAAAATGCCTCAGAAGCGAAATCCTTCAAGGAAATCGCTTTAAAAATGAATTCTTTTAAAAAAAATATTCCAAAAGTGAATTCTTTTAAAGAAAATGCTTCAGAAGCGAAAATCTTTAAGAAAATCACTCTAAAAATGAATTCTTTTAAAGAAAACGCTCTGAAAGAGAAATCCTTCAAGAAAATCACTTCGGAAGTGAATTCTTTTAAAGAAAATGCTCCAGAAGTAAATTTCTTAATGGAAAACGCTTCAGAAATATTCCTCTCAAAGGGAATCATTTCAGAAACACATCTTTTGATGAGAAACGTTTCTCTCAACAGTTTTTCGTTTCTAAATATAATGCAAGCTGAATTAGCTTAGCTTAGCTTGTCAATTGATCTCTATGAGCTGAGCTAAACTAAGCCAAAAAAGTAGCTCAGCTCAAGCTGGTAATAATCCAAACCAAGCTAGCTTATGCAGAGTTTTAGTAATGATACATCATTGTTCTGCTTTCTTTTCTTAATATATATTATTTTTCGTTCTTTTTGATAAATTTCATAAATGATTTTTTCTTGATCTAGATATTCCTGGAAAGTTTGAGTATCATTGATTTTAAAAACATATGGAGCAATTTTTTTTTCTTACTCTTTTTTTAGAATGCTTCTAATGGTGCTGTAATTCTTTGGTTCCATAGTGGATTTAATGTAAATTAATTTCATATTAATATTTTTTATATAGAGATAATCCTATATTAATCCTATTATGGTTTATATTCATCACATTCTGATATGATAAAGTGAACATTAAAATTAACAAGTCAATAAGTTATAGATGAGCACCATTATTATTTTTCAGTCACACTGTTAATTTTACAGCCACATCATAATTAGCCTCTTATTTATGACATATAATAAAATGTTCACTTTATCAGGTTTTATTGCAGTCTGCCCTATATATATAAAACTAAAAATTTATAATAATAAAATAATAATAAATTTATTAATTTATGTATAATTTTATATAAAAATTTTATTATATTTTAAAATTTTTTATATTTAATAACTTTAAAATATAATTTATATATTATAATTAAAATAATTACTTTTTTTATTTAAATAAATTTATTTATTTAAGATTAAAATTATTTAATTTTAAATTTTTATCAAAATTAAGGTTTAATGTTTTTATCTTTTAGTTTTAATAATTTTCTTAATAATATTTATAAAATTTACAAATTTTTTCTATTTATAATTTAAATATATAATTAAAATATTTTGATCAAAATAAATTACCTTTAATATTTAAATAATATTATTTATTAGATTTTAATACTATATAAATTTAAAATTTTATTTAAGTTAAATTAATATTTACAAAATAAATAATATTTTACTAAAAAAAACTAATTTTAATTAATTTATTAAAGTAGATTTTAAAATTTTTATATTTTTAGAAATACAAATTTAAGTTATTTTTAAAAATAATTTTTTAAAGAATAAATGTATAATCAATTCTCTATAAATGCATTTTCTATAAATATACACTTTATATATGCATCTTTTTATATGATCTCAATTTAGGCCGTTAGTGCTAAATACACATTTTTTATATATATACTCTTTGTAAATGCATTCTTTATAAAAAAATTTTAATATAGTTTACTTATAATTTTTTTTATTTTACCTTAATTTTAGATTAGTATTATATGGATTTATATTATTTTATAAATGCACATCCTCTTTAAACACACTCTTATACTTAGTCTCAAGGGAAGTGTATTTATAAAGAGTTGATTGTATTATTATATTATTAAATTATTTATAATAATTAAGTAATAATTGTTTTATTATACTATAATTACAAAATGAATATTTTTATTCATACTAGAGGTTACTAGTATCCTTTTCTAATAATTAATACTTGATCCTAATTAATTCTAACCCTAATTTTAATTGTAATAAATAGATATATGTGATAAATAAGATTTCATTACTCAAAAAACTAAGACTTTTAAATAAATAATAAAATAGAAACTTTATACTGTTACAAAATTATATAAAACTAATTTTTATATATTAGTTTATAATATTTAATCATATAATAAAACAATATTTTATTAATAATAAAACAATTCATATATTTGATTATAATTATTTATATATTATTTTTTTTTTTAATTGTATTTTTTTTATTATTATTATTTATATTTGTTAAATTATATAATTTTTAAGTTATATTTTAATTTTTTCATATTTATTATATTAAATCTGATTTAAAAATTCTTAAACTATTTGGCTATAAAAACATTATAAAATGTAAAATAATATATCAAATATAATTGTATATATAACATCAAGTTTTATATATTAACAAAAATCTGTGAAACCAGAGACAAACGAAAAGCCCGGTATTAAAATACTAAAAGTTTCCGGGTCTCGTGTAACGACCAATTATTCTCAGTTCACTGAAAACAAAACCAAGAACAATCAAACATCATGAATCCTGAAGAACTTGCACAATATCAATATCAACTTGACCAAGTCAATCTTGCTTTAAAAAGTGAACCTGAAAGTTCAGAACTCTTGAAACTTAAAACGGATCTAACAGAATTAATTAATCTTACTACTACCATTATTGATCAAGAGGTAACACTTTCACCTTCTAAAAGGTCAGCTTCATCGGTTTCACCTAGGAACAATTCAACGCCAACTACACCAACTTTAACTTCTCTACCAACTTTTACAAAACCACTTCAAGTCGGAGATTCTTGTCTGGCGCGCTGGTCTGGCGATGGACAGTTTTATCAAGCTCAAATAACAGCTATCGGTGGTGGTAATCAAGTTTTTTCGGTTGTTTTTAAAGGTTATAACAATATTGAACTTGTTAATGTTCAAGATATTAAACCTCTGGAAAAAAGTAAAAGAAAAAATTCAATGGATAAAAAGGATAAAGATAAGAAAAAGAAAAGCAGTGATGGACAAAAGAAAGTTAATGAACAAAATCTGAAACAAAAGTCTTGGCTTGCTTTTGCAAGTGGTTCAGCCACGGCTCCTGGCAAGAGAACAACGAAAGCAAAAAGGCTGGTACAACCACCAATAAACAAGAAGAGTATCTTTGCTACTCCAGAAAATCCGGAAGGCAAAGGTGAGTTAATTCGAATTCATCAAAAATCATATACGATTTCTTCTAGTTGCAACGGTGCATAATACTTTTCTTTTGGTAGTCGGCGTGGTCGGTAGCGGTAAACCAATGACACAATTCCAACAACGTGGTAAACATATATTTGACCGCGATTAATTGAAAGGATATGAAATTTGTTTATTTTTTATTTTTATTTTTTCTGTTTTATATTTTTTTATATTTTTCTTAAAAAGGGTTCTTCACTAGACCACGAAAACATTATGAAATATATTGAAGTTGGATGGTACTACTACTTATAGGGCAGTAAGGACATTTTGTTTGCTCTTTCATTTTTATTCATTTGTTAAGAACATATGATTTATACAAAATTTGCATCATTCAATATATTTTCTCCATAAGCGAGATATTATAATTGGGAAAAGTTATATATACACACACAAACATATATATATATATATAAAACTAATCTATTGATTGAGTTTTATCAAGGTAATAATTAAAAAAAAAAAAAAAATCTTGTAATAAATTAAAACTATTTTTTGGAAATATTTTATTTTATTTTATTTTTTTTTTTTTTTTTAAAAAAAAATGTAATTTAAATAATTTAGATCAAATAAGTACTTTATACAATATTTTGAATAATATCATCATCAATATCATAAGCGCTAAGAATTTTTCCGAATATTATATATCCAGCATCATTTTTCAGAATTCTTTGTGTTTTCCAACATTCTCAATCTTTCTTCAAAATCCTTTTTTTTTTTGTCAATATTCAACCACTCAAAAAAATCACACTTTCCTTCCGGACCACCAGCATTACAAGTATAAAAATATCGTCCGACATTACGTCCATTGAACACAGGCTTGAGCATACAAAGTTCACCATGATTACAAATAGGAGTCATTTCATTCCCATATTCATCGCGAAATTGACGAAATGTGATGTTTATACGTTTAGAACCCGCTATTGGATGTTTATCAATAGAGTTCTGAGGACAAACTTCGTGTTTCCAAAGTTCTTGGCAAGGAGGCCACATTATTATAAGTGAATTGTGTATAAGCGGAATTGAATAGATTGTAGATGGAGATGATTGATTCGTTATATTCAATGAATCATTACCAATGCGACGAAGACGAAATTGGCGAGTAACTCCCAAAGAAAGTGACCCGATAATGGGCAGAGGGCCAAGGTGAGTTAACTTTTACATATAAATTTAATTTATTAGCTACGTGAAATGAAAATAGTTGATTAAAGAAATATGATTACTTTGTCACTGTGCCAATTAACACACTCTAATATATATGTATATCAAGTAGGTATGTTAGTATTTTAAAAATAAATACAACCGTTTTGAATTTTGAAGGGAAAGAAAAAAAAAGGATTTAACGTTGAGTTGGTTTATATAAAATAATATACGTTACCTTTTGAACCAGAATAACAATTTGCCGCAGCAATGTTCGGATTCCAATCTCCTTGCACTTCATATTCATATCTTGCAACACGAGATATAATAATGTTACTTCGATGTGACAAATGAATCAAAAATAACCTTAGTACTTACATTTTTCGTTCCTTTCGTTTTTCATTGATTATATTCATTATAATGAATTTTGCTTGCTCCATTTCCGGCGGAAAATGGCGTCCATTGGAACTCCCTATTTTCATTTCATTCGACACATAATATTGACTAGTATGAGGCGTAGTAGATAATTGCCCAAATAAAAACCCTTGATTACGTGTAAAAGTATCACTTTCTTTCAACATTATTCGTAACAGAGAATTTGCTAATTTTTTTGGTAGCACATTTTGTATGAGTGTACATGGTGTCCTGACAGAAATGTCTTCCGGTCGATATAAACGTAATGTTTGTGTTCGGATTCTTTTCTCAACCGCAGATTCGCTTGTATTAGGTGACCATCTCAAAACTTCTTGTAAATTTAACAGTTTTTTACTAGATAGATTATCTTTATTAACGGTTTTGTCGGTTAAATCTTCGATCTTCCTCTTTTTGGAGGGAGTATTATCATCATTTTTTTCAATATCTTTTTTATCCGCTTGCTTTTCTTTAATAAAAGAATCTAGTTTTGATTGTTTCGAATGATTTGAACTTTTATCGTGTCTTTCTCTTTGTTCAAGGTAAATGTTTAAAGCCCTTTCTACCTCTCCATTACTAAGTCTAAGCGCGACGGACAAATTTTGTTCTCTAGCATCTGGTAAAAGTAACTTTAGTAGTTGAAGTTTTTCTTTAAAAGTTTCCATCTTTTAAAGATAACGTGAAGTTTGTAACAAAATCTGACCAATAAAATTTGTTAATCAGGAGGATAAAATAACTGCCCTAGCGTTCCCCCAAAAAAAAGCACTGGTCGGCCGGCATTATGCAGTGACACGTGAATTTGGTGTGACAGATAATGTGTGACAAATAGGTTTGCGTTAGTGAAAAAAACTAAGTCCCCGAAATACTTATAAAAAATGAAAATACGCCGGGGTGTGATACCGGTGACAACAAAAACATCATCACGTAATCAGTGCTTTTGGAACGCTAGGGTAGTTGGATAAAATCAACCTAATTATCAGAAAGTTTTTCCAAAAGAGGAAAGGTTAATCCATATCTATGAGACCCGGGGTAGAACCGCTAGTCTATAAGCCACAATTTCACAATGCATTTTGACCGTGTGTGACAAAAAATCGCTTTTGAACTACTTTAATATTTTTTTTTTTCTCTGAATTCATGTCACCAAATACCAGGTCGCAGATCAGACTTTTTTGTCTAATTTACGGTGATAGTCCAGGTTCTGCTTTCGAAGTTAAGATAAATAAGAGTGAGACCGTTCACATGTT